TTCATACGATTCATATAGTGAAAAATGGGTATACGAGTGTATAGGAGACTTCTCCGCCTTTTATGAGTAGCGTGCCGTCAATGTGTTCAACAACACCTTCTATAGTAGACGTTTTAAAGAACAGCTGCCTCGGCCAACAACTGCACGCAAGCCTTTGTTGCTCTGTATTATAGTTCCTAACACAAGACGACAGAAACGCTTGCGCGCAAGAGAGCGATGCTACGCTGACGTCTCTTGATAACGAGCATAAATTTGAAAACCAGCTGTTTCTGCACACGAAAAGGATAGCATGTGACTCACTCAGGGCTTTCCCTATATTTTACTTCGTTTTTAAAAAGGTTTCAGTGGATTACTCCAGCAGCTGTTTGTTTGCCTTTTCTATAGAGTTAGTAGGAAATTTTTGCTTGCGATCTTTTGGATTTACGGATCTTTTAAATGCATCTTCGCACTTCAAGCAATCTCTTCGCATCCTTGGTCTATCGTGCTCTCTATCTGTCTCCTTCTTTGTCATTTTCAAGCTATCTGGAAGCTTTTTGTTCCATCCATCGTCACTTTGTTCGCATACTTCACTGTTTTGAAGCGGTTTGTTGGGTCGTCATTGGATTTGCTTCGGTGAGATTTTAATCGACCGAAAATACAATGGAATCCATTGTCAGACTCGGCGGCAGGTCTCCGGAGGGCAAGCTGGGATTCGTTTTTGTGGAAAAAGCAAAGAGGAAGTCGTAGGGGATCCAGAGAAGAGCCTGCAGTTCAATTTCAATTATGACTGCTTTTTCCCCAACAAGTTCTTCCTAGCGCTGATGTTCATGCAGCGGCTTGAGTATTTCCTTTTTATTCAATACTTAATTCAGAGTGATTTCACACACACTTCTATACCGTTTAAAAGCCTGCACCAGCAAAGGTTCAATGTTTGTTTCAATGCGGGCGTCAGCGCGGGAAATTTAAAAGAGTTTCAAAAAATTAGGGTAGCCCGCTTTTCTAAGCGAATAGGTGATATAGGTATATCAGAGGTAGTACTAATTATAAACACGGCTTTCATCTTTTTGTAGCAATGTGTGATTGTACTACCTTAACACAAGCTGGATATGTGGGCGATGATGTTGACACAGTTCTTCAAAAACTCGTTATAAACGCACATGGAAATGTGGAAAAGGCTCAAGTAAGTAACTTGCTGACACAAATTCGCTACATAAAACAGCAACTAAGCTTTGAGCGAGGCGAGTCGGCCTTTGGAAAGGGGGCTTGGATGACTTCGGATAGTAGATTTTAAATATTAAGTAACGGAAGCACTTAATAGTTAAGATGATTGATGCTGATAAATTCTACAGCGCTTTCAAAAACGAGGCGGAGAATGCTGTGTACAAATGATAGAAGTATTATTTTTGGGGGGAACTATTGGAAGCCAACGCCTCATCAGCTCATATATAATAGGTGGCCACCGAAATTGGCTAAAAGATGCGCAACAAGGGATAGAAGAAGAAAAATCTTTGAAATATTATGGGAGTGAAAAATCACCGCACCTTTTTGTGATTTAGGTCTACGGCGGAGGCCTACGGGAGACCTCAGGTCTCCGATTAGCGAACCCTTTTTTGTTTCTCATAATTTTACGTTCCTTATAGCAAATGATTTTTGTGCACCCCTTGACCCAACTTACAGCGCAATAGTCAGATCACAGCACTTTCTCTCTTTCTTGCTAGGCTCCCAGATTTTTTTCCTTATTGAAGAAAATGCGCTCCAAATATACGGCACTACAGGCTTGTCCTGATTGCACGCGTTTGTACAGGTTACAAAGGGGATTTCCTGTATTTTC